ACATGGCAATCTCAGGCACAAACACAAGTTGGGCAGAGAATGGCTGGAGAGCAGCCCTGAGGAGAAGGACTTGGGAGTGCTCGTGGATGAGAAGCTCACCATGAGCCGGCAGTGCGCGCTGGCAGCCCAGAAAGCCCACCCACATCCTGGGCTGCATCAAGAGAAGCGTGGCCAGCAGGGCCAGGGAGGGGATTCTACCCCTCTGCTCTGCTCTGGTGAGACCCCACCTGGAGTGCTGTGTCCAGCTCTGGAGTCCTCAGCACAGGAAGGACATGGACCTCTTGGAATGGGTCCAGCAAAAGGCCATGAAGATGCTCCGAGGGCTGGAGCACCTCTGCTGTGAAGACAGGCTGAGAGAGCTGGGGGTGTTCAGCCTGGAGAAGAGAAGGCTCCGGGGAGACCTTCTAATGGCCTTCCAGTACCTGAAGGGGCTACAGGAGAGATGGGGAGGGACTCTTGGTCAGGGAGTGGAGTGACAGAACGAGGGGTAATGGTTTTAAACTGAAAGAGGGGAGATTTAGATGAGATCCCAGAAAGAAATTCTTTGCTGTGAGGGTGGTGAGAGCCTGGCCCAGGTTGCCCAGAGAAGCTGTGGCTGCCCCATCCCTGGAGGGGCTCAAGGCCAGGCTGGATGGGGCTTGGAGCACCCTGGTCTGGTGGGAGGTGTCCCTGCCCAGGGCAGGGGGTTGGAACTGGATGATCTTTAAGGTCCCTTCCAACTCCAACCATTCTATGATTCTACGATACACTTACAGGCTGTGCCAGAGGATGCGGAGTGGCACATGCGTGAGAGGAGACCTCCTGGCACCCCTGGGAGCTGGTGAAGGATGTCCTCTAAAAAAGACTTGACGCTCCCCAAGGCACAGCCAGCAGCAGCACGCACATCTCCTGCTACATGACAGCTCACGAGCGGGGTGGGGGAATAGCCCCATGCAACTCCCAAATCCATAAAGCCACGTTCCAACCTCAAGTCTGAACTCCAGCAGAACACAAAAGGGAAACTAATGCCGGCTCCCCCGAGAGCTTCCTGCCTCTGAAAGATCCGAGCGGCCGCATTACCGCTCGAGAATAAAGGATGTTTTTGGCCGGACTCCAAATTATTAGAGCTTTATAGGCCAAAAGCAAACATATTAAAAGTTCTTGTAAGCCAGCTGGCGGCCAATTATTTAAGCAGCTTATCACATCCCCCACTATCTGTGGTTTCTGAAAAAAAAAAAAAAAAAATTAGGAGGAAACTTTAGATAGCTTAATTGCAATCACCTAGCATAGAGGTGGGAAAGGCCAAGAGCCAGGGAGCGAGGCTGCTGCCTCAGAGAGAAAAGGGCCCAATGCTCTTGTCAGAGATGGCATTAAGTGTAATGCATCACCGGGACAAAAGGACAAGGAGCACACCAGACCTCTGAAGCTCTGACACAAAGGGTCAGCCAAATTTATCACACTCTGGGGCTGTGGTTCTTCCCATTCCTCTCCCCAAACTGGCTCCAAGACCCCAGTGACTTGGGACGGGGGAACCCACAGCATCACTCCCCAAGGTCACAGCGGGGTTTGGTGAGACACAACCAGCACAGCAGGTCCATGCCTGAACCCAGCAGAGCACAGAGCTCAGAAAGGGGCTCAGCTCCCTTTTCTTGCCTCCAGCTAAAGAACGAGTGAAAAGGAGACCCTACAGAGAGAGCCAACTCTGAGACAAGAAGAAAATATGAGGCCTCGGCTGTTCCCAGGAGCCAAACCCAGTTTACAGAGGGTCAGCATTTCCAAGAGGAACCCGACTTCAGGGCAACCATTTAGATATAAGCCACCATTTCCACGCTGCCCTGTCCCCTCCCCATCTGTTCATGCCATTTATTAAACCATCGCACACTGAAGACCGTTGACCTTTAGGACAAGGAATTTGATTTCCCAGCAGCGCCCAGCACTCAGCGCTTCAGTTTCAGACGGAGCTGAGGCACCTTTAAAGGAGCGATAATGAAGCCCAGTGACATTTTCGTGCCCATGTAAATGCACACACAGCAACAAGGCAACCACCGGGCTGGCAAAGAGACCCAGACGCGGCTTTGGGCTACGTGGGCAAGCAACACTCCCCCTTCATACAAACAGACAATAAACTGAAGTGTAGCAGAACAAGGATCCTGTTGTCCGAGCCCATCCCAGGCCCTGGATGAGAACAGGACAGGGTGTTACGTGCAAACATATAAAAATACTGCAAATGCAACGCAGCCTCGAGTTGGGCTGATGGGGCTGGGACTGAGCAGGGGGTTAAAGGCAAGTCGAGGTCTCAAAGATTTTAGTGAGAGCCGCGGAGAAGGGAATGTTTGAATAAGATTGTCCTCTGCTCCAGGCTATCTTCAGAGAAAAGTGGCCGTGTGTTCAGACTTGGCTCTAACGCTGAAATCAACCATTTTTTCCTGTGTGACCCTCAGCAAGTCACTCTGACTTTTTGCCATTAAGTCATGTTTACAGTGAACATTTTCCTATTTGCAGTAAAACATAGACGGTAACTGTGCCTCCTTTCATCGCCTGTTTACGACGTGAGCTCTCCCTTTCCAGTTGTGCAGTTACACTCTATCAAGCCATTTTAGCAAGATGCTTTCGTGCCTTTTTCCACCACATCCTGCCTTCCAGGCCCATAGCTTTTTCCCTTCCACTCATCCGCCTCCTGCCATGTCAAATACATTGTGAACACTGAGAGCCTGGCAAAACTGCTTGAATCGAACATTAAATACATTCATTAATCATTCTCTGTTATGAAGAGCCAGGCAGAGGTTAGAGATACCACAAACGGAAGAGAGACCCACACAAATCCTCTTTTGTCATGTTCGGTAACATTTGGTAAGGAGGTTAAGACAGCCAGCTTTCATTTCCAATCTTTAAGTCAGCACGCTGCAAGGCCACACACACAGCACGAAAGCTTTACTGGTATCTTGTGCGAGAGGAAAAAGAGGCAAAAGCATGGCCATGGCACATACTTTACAACAAAAATAAAGAAAAAGCAAGCTCTGCGGTATTTGTGGAGACAGACCTGCAAAGCAAGGGATCAATTTGCCAGCACTGCCTGTGGGTGACAAGAAAGCGTTGGGATAAATCTTACATTTCAGGCATCGCTTTATGAGGGCAGGAGGGTGGGTAAAGGGCTGGGGGATTGCATCCTAATGCCACCTGTGAGCCTGTAACAAATTTGGTCATTTGGACTGATCCAGGCCACATTTAAAATGCTTTATCCAAGGGTGTTGTAAGGATCAGCTGCACAGAGCATTCTCATTACCAGGTCCAGCATTTTAGGCACTCCCTGCTCAGATACATCACGCTGAGCTCCATCTCTTCATCCCTCCTTCCAGGGCAACACTCTGCCCCAACCCAGGCACCGCAGCAGTTCCCCCAGATCAGCAAAGCGAGTGCCATCAGGATGGGCACCCCTCAGCAGAGGGCAGGACAGCACCACCGTGAATCAGGCTGGGCATCAGGCACCAGCCCTCAACTGAGTTTATTTTGCAAATCCACAAGGATTACCACCCAAAGGATACTCAAGTTTGCAGTTCTGCATGCAGGAAAAAGAGAGGGAAAGGAGGAAGAGAGAGTACTGTTGCAGTGAGATGCTCATACATTCTCCAATATTCCATTGGCAGCAGCCACACAACACTTACGCATATAGAACCACAGAATGGTTGGAGTTGGAGGGGACCTTAAAGACCATCCAGTTCCAACCCCCTGCCCTGGGCAGGGACACCTCCCACCAGACCAGGTTGCTCCAAGCCCCATCCAGCCTGGCCTTGAACCCCTCCAGGGATGGGGCAGCCACAGCTTCTCTGGGCAACCTGGGCCAGGCTCTCACCACCCTCACAAGAAAGATTTTCTTCCTGGTATCTCATCTAAATCTCCCCTCTTTCAATTTAAAACCATTACCCCTCGTTCTGTCACTCCCCTCCCTGACCAAGAGTCCCTCCCCATCTCTCCTGTAGACCCTTCAGGTACTGGAAGGCCGTTAGAAGGTCTCCCCGGAGCTTTCTCTTCTCCAGGCTGAACACCCCCAGCTCTCCCAGCCTGTCTTCACAGCAGAGGTGCTCCAGCCCTCGGAGCATCTTCATGGCCTTTTGCTGGACCCGTTCCAAGAGGTCCATGTCCTTCCTGTGCTGAGGACTCCAGAGCTGGACACAGCACTCCAGGTGGGGTCTCACCAGAGCAGAGCAGAGGGGTACAATCCCCTCCCTGGCCCTGCTGGCCACGTTTCTCTTGATGCAGCCCAGGATGCGGGTGGGTTTCTGGGCTGCCAGCGCGCACTGCTGGCTCATGTTGAAGCCATAGAAGTGCGTGCGCTAAAAAAAATTAATTATGTGAGGGTTACAGCACTTCGAAAGCCAGAATCACATACACAGAGGAAACAAAGCAAGAGAAGAAAGGGGCTGGATGCGAAGCGAGTCTGTCTAGTGCCATCACCCTTCCAAACCCCGCAACTGCCCAGCGCTTGGAGCCGGGTCTCCCTGCGGCTGCGGGGGGAACCCAGCCCGCCCGGCCCCGGTGCGGCACGGCATGGCACGGCGGGCCCCCCCGCGGGCACAGCGGACTGGGGGCCGCTTGGCACGGCCAACCGGAGCGCAGGGACCCGCTGGACTATGGCACAGG